GCTCATCTCCCCCACCACTCATACTCCAAGCTCTTCCCACGGGACAAGCCGTGTGCTGGTCCCTTGCAATGACTCACTGGCCTCTGAGTGGCTCCTTTTTTTCAGTTGCTGTGGCTCCTCACTCCTGAGTGGGTCCACAGGTACCATATTAGTGGTCTTGCTGGCCTGGGGGCCACCAAGGTCCTCTTCTCCCCTGCCACCTCCAAACAACTTCATCCAAAGGGCACAGCTGCAGCTTTCGCCAGCTCCAGCTCCATGCACTCAGCAGCTCCAGCCTGGAAGTGGCCGGGATTTGAAATGGTTGGAGTGATTTTTTTTTTTTCTCTCTTATCGTGGCTTCTTCTGCCTTTGTGCACTCCGTAGGTCTCTCCTCCTCTCCCCCTGAGCTCTTGCAGCACCAGCTTGGCTTGGCTGATTTGTGGGAGACAGTGATGCTAGGGACCATCTATTCCAGCATCTTGACTGGAAGCCCCTGCCAATATGTATTCTTTTGTGTCTGGCTTCTTTCACTCAATATTATGTTTGTGTGATTTACACATGTTGTTGGATACAGTAGTAATTCATACATGTTCATTACAGCATATTGTTCCACTTGTTGTCCATAACTGTCCACTGGTCCTCAGGATTCTGCTTCAAAACTCAGTGGTTTCAAGAAATCATCAGAGGGCAGATTTCTGATACCAGTTGGTATGCAACACCAAATCCTTGACCTATGGTCACCTCATGCCCATCCTCCAGCAGCAGCCATTCACCATTCATCCCCACCTGCTGCAAGCACCAGCTCCAGCCATGGGCACAGTCTCCCATGACCAAGGAACCAGGCTCCCCCATAGTCCACTCAGCCTGTGGGGGCAGTCAGCACCAAGCGAGACCCTGACCCTGGTTCCATCCTCTTCTTCACTTCCTTGCTGGCGTCATACCTAAACAACCTTACAGAAGCAATCTCCCTGTATATTTTTATTTGAGTTTTGTCTCATTTGTATCTGTGGGATTTTAATTTATGGAGATGACTGAGTGATGATATGGACTGGCTAGTGCCACTGAAGGAAGATTTTTGTTTCTTTGTTTTGCAGCTGGCCAGTATGGGGATCCCAATCCTTGACCTTGGTGTTATAACACCATGCTGTAACCAACAGAGCTAGCTAGCCAGCCCCTGAAAGGAGATTTTTATTACTTACAATTTCCAAGAGAAGGGAGCATGCCATGCCATGCAAGGCCATAGGGGAAGCACTGAGTTTTGGTCAGGAAGCAGAAGCAGGAAGGAGCAGAGGGAAAGCCTAAGCCAGAGTCCTTATTGGGATTTCTGAGAAAATGCAACGCAAGGCAGGGTAAATAGCTTAGGATTGGCTGGTTTAAATAATTCTGGCAGACTCTGAGATACAGGGGCTATCACTGGTTGTCTGGTACCTGACCCTGGGTTTATTTAGGGCAGAGGAAATATTGGCTTGGTATGTGAGAATTTGAAAGGAGGTGGTTCATAGTGTGATAGGAGGTGCTCAGTTTCCCTGGGTTCGAGCTTCAAGACACTCCTTTGAGTTTTGAGCCACTCCCCAAAGTCTCAGGCCCCTCTTCTAAGCCCTCCCCTAGAGGAGAGTTATTGCTATAGTTGCTAATTGCACCTATTTTCATCACCAACAGGGAGAAATTGAGCCACAAGGAGCAGATTTGTTACACTTCAGTGGCTGAGCATGCCCAATAAAAAGGAGATATATAACCCCAGTGGCTGAGCATGCTCTGTAGAGGGAAGTTTATCCTTTAAATGACCTTCCACTGGGAGCACTGGAGAACACTGAATATTTCTAAGTGTTTTTCAGTGAACATGTTGGAATTTAACCAATGAGCATGCTCTGAAAAAGACCAACTGAGCATGACTATCTAACATAACTGGGAACCACCCCCTTAGTTAAATATTCATTAAATAGCGTGGATATGTATTAGATAGTGAAACTATAAAAGCTGAATCCCGGTAGAAAGCGGGGCTGCTGCTCATTCTCTCTAGAGCCAGCCCACACTTCTCCTGAAGTGGTATTTCTTGCCTTTTGTATCAATCTTGCCTCTAGTAGGCTGCTGTTCACTCTGGGGCCAGCCTACTTTTTGTCTGTAAATGTGTATTTTTGCTTTTGTACTAAACTTGCTACAGTTGGTTGCTTGCTTTCCTGGGGCCAACCCACACTTTGCTGGGAGAAGTGTGTATACATTGCTTTTGTGTTAAACTTATTTCTAATGGGCAGCCGCTCACTCTCTTGATCCAGCCTACACTTTGTAGTAAATGTTAAGTGTGCATTTCTTACTTTTGTGTTCAACTTGGTGCAATCCCTGCTCATTATCTGGAGCTAAGCTGCACTTTCTCTGTTACATTAAACTTGTTTTCACCTTGTACTGTGACTCTTGAATTCCTTCCTGTGGTGGAGTCAAGAACCTGCTAGAGGACAGGGTGGGTTGAAGTCAGCTACCAGGCCTTCCCAGACCCTCTCCTCCAATATGAATAGTATGAGTTCTAGACTGTAAGGGAGATATAAACAACTTTGGCCATCAGTTAGGCTCTTTGAGTAGTAGATGCCAAATAAACAAATACAGAGTCAAAGAAAACAGTTAGGATATAACTGAGATAGAATTTGTCAAATTCTTATCCATATACTAATCATTCCAAAAAGGGTTCCAGAAATCCTTCATACAGAACCTTGAAACTGTATATAATGCATAGCCTTCACATTCAGTGGAGCAAGGGCATATGAGAGGAGAAAGAGGAAGTTACCTTGACTCTGAGACTCTTTAGCGAAAAACAAGGGTAGATGGAGGAAATATGAAAAAATATATGAGCAGACTATGGAAATCAAAAGAGCAATGAGATACCACCTTACTCCAGTTAGAATGGCTATTATCAAAAAGACGAAAGAACACAAGTATTGGCAAGGATTTGAAGAAAAGGGAACTCTTATACACTGTTGGTGGGAGTGTAAACTAGTACAGCTGTTATGGAAAACTGTATGGAGGTCTCTCAAAAAATTAAAAGTAGAACTACCATTTGATCCGGCAATCCCACTGCTGGGTATATACCCAAAGGAAATGAAATTGGAATGTCGAAGAGATATCTGCACTCTCATGTTTATTGCAGTACAATTTACAATAGCCAAGATATGGAATCAACCTAGGTGTCCAACAATGGATGAATGGATTAAAAAATGTGGTATATATATAAACAATGGAATATAATTCAGCCATAAAAAAGAATGAAATCCTGTCATTTGAGGCAATATGGATGGACTTGGAGGACATTATGCTAAGTGAAGTAAGCCAGGCAAATATCACATGACATCACTCATATATGGAATCTAAAAAACAGAAGTTGATATTATAGAGGAAGAGTAGAACAGTGGTTACCAGGGATAAGGGAGGGGTTGTGGTGGTGGTGGGGGGTGTTTTAGTCCATTTTGTTTTGCTATAACAGAAATACCTGAGACTGGGTAATTTATAAGGAAAAGAGGTTTATTTGGCTTAGGATTCTGGGACAGCTGCATCTGGCATGGGCCTCAGGCTGCTTCTACTCACAGTGGAAAGCAGCAGGCAGCCAGCGGATACAGGCAGATCACATGGTGAGAGGAAGCAAGAGAGAGCAGAGAGAGAGGAGGTGCCAGGGTCTTTTAAACAACCTGCTCTTGTGGGAACTAATAGAGGGAGAACTCACTTATTAACTCCCCTACCCCCAGGGAGAGCATTAATCCATTCATGAGGGATCCATCCCCATGACTCAATCAGTTTCCAACACTGCCACACTGGGGATTAAATTTCCACATGAGTTTTGTATATTACATAATAGCTAGAGGAGAGGCTTTTGAATGTTTTTGCCACAAAGAAATAATAAATGCATGAGGTGACTGATACTTTAACTACCCCGACCCGAATATTATACATATTATATATATATCAAAACATCAGATTGCCTTTCCCTGCCAGCAGCACTCCTGCAAACATGGCAAGCACCAACTCCACAAAGTGACACAGTACAAAAAGGGCAAGGATTCTCTGTATGCCAAGGGAAAGCAGTGTTATGACAGGAAGCAAAGTGGCTATGGTGGGCAGACTAAGCTAATTACAGAGAAGATTGTGCTGAGGCTTGAATGTATTGAGCCTAACTGCAGATCTAAGAGAATGCTGGCTACTGAGAGAGGCAAGCATTTTGGACTGGGAGGAGATAAGAAGAGAAAGGACCAAGTAACCCAGTTCTAAGCTTCCCATTTTGATTTATTATGAAGACAATAAACTCTTGAGGTTATGGTCAGAAAAAAAACAACTCACGTCAGATTGTACCCCATAAATATGTACAATTACATTATGTCAGTTCAAATAAAAAAATTTTTTTTGAATTTTTAAAAAGCAGGCTATGGGAGACTTAGGACTTTGGTACCGTTAAAGTGCTTCTTTCACTCATTTCATTTCAATAAAATTATACTTTCTCAGAAGCAACATTATGTAGACTTTGAAATCAAACTGTCTGAACACAAAATTTCCCAATTCCACTTATTGGAAGACCATGTACAAGTTATTTAACCTTTCTGCACCTTAGTGTCTTCATCAGTAGAGGATAAGGGTTGCTAAGAGGATTACCAGAGTTCATACCTGGATGGCTTAGGACAGTTTCTGGCCCACAGGAAATGTTTTGTAAGTTTTAGATCTCATTATTTTTTGTATAATCAGATTTCATTGAATAGAAGATGCTGATTTTTCTTTATCTTACCAAAAGGTGCCAGTGGAAGTTTTCACACTTTCACCTCATGAGTGCCACTGATTGAAAGAAATTGTAAGATGCCTTTAATTATAAGCTATAACCTAATTTCAGAGTCAGTAAAATATTTTAAAATGTGTATCTTAGAATCAATAAAGTAAGTTTTGATGCTTTAATTTAATTTAATTCTAAGTTAATGTATGTGTGACATCCACCAAAAGACAATTGAAACTAACAAAATAATTTCATTCAAATATTAAATAATGTAACTTCTTACTTCTATAAATTCTTCTTTGTCCAATCTGGGTTCCATTGAGTCAATAATTTCCAATTGTTCACAATATGATTCTAATTATGGAATAAAGTTTATTTGCTGGTTAGTTTGGTTGCAGTACATTCATATTTAATATTTACCTTATAGTGCTTTAAAATAACTTAAAATTATGTCTTAAATAATGTTTATCTGTAATAACAATAAAGTAAATGATACATAGTTAGGTAACATCCCAATTACTACAAAATTATTATTTTCCTGGCTTTTGTTTAAGCAAGCAACCCAAATCCTAAAAACAATGAGCCTACATTTTTTTTTCCCTTTTGTCTTTTTTCGTGACTGGTAACGGGATCGCAACCCTTGGTGTCGCGCCCGCACTGCGCTCAACCAGTGAGCAGACCAGTCTCTATATGGGATCCGAACCCTCGGCAGGAGCGCCACCACACTCCCAAGCACCGCACTCTACCGAGTGCGCCACCGGGCCGGCCCGAGCCTACATTTTTAATGACTAGGTTAGGACAAAGCAGAAACAAACATGCACATCAATAGTATAAAAGACTACAAAAACATCTGAGTGGTTTTTATTTTAGCAGGTCCAAAACAAAACACCTCTACAAACTTTCTTATTTTAAAAAATTTCTTTTGTTTTTAATATTTCTCATATTAAATATACAACATATAAATATGTTAATTTAGTAAAAGATCCAAATAATACAAAAGTATAAGCAGCAAAACATGAATATTTTCCTTTTTGCATACCCCCCATCAGTACTCTCACGCCCCTTTGCCCCAGAAGAAATCACTGTCCACAGTTTGCCATTATCCTTCCAGCAACTTTTCTATGCATTGTCATATGTATGTACATATACACATGTATCTTTTGTTTTGTCTATATAAAAAAATGATCATTTTGATCTGCAACTTGTTTGTTTCACTTACCACTTGTACATTTTTTCAAATAGGACCTGGAGCTCAGAGACTTTGGAATGACAATATGGATTGGGAGTCATTAGCTGCAGTCATGGATTTGAATAAGAAAACCCAAGGAGTGTGTATAGTCTGTAGAGTGATGAGAATTGAAAAGGAAACTAGAAAACATCATTTAAGGTGCGAGCAAAAGAAGAACCAAGAAACAAAAATGCTAAGAGGTAATCATAATAGAAGGAAAAATCAAGAATGATATCTCAAGAGCAAAGAAAAAAGAGTTTCATGAGTAACAGAGGACTCGATAATGGTGAATGTGGCAGTTTGTTAAAACAAAGATTTTTAAATCTCCATTTGATATGACAATTATGCAATCCTTATTGGCCTTACCAAGAGATAAATACACTAATTGTATGAACACTCATGATGAGAGAACTAATACACTGGCTTTTTCTTCTACTTCTAACAGTAACTCCTGCCTATCATGGGTTGGCACAAGGTCATAGAAAAGATTTTTCGGTCACTCTTGAATTTTGTAACTGCTAATTATGAGCTATTAGTTATTGTGGCCATAAGAGGACTGTATAAACTTTCATAAAATCTTATGCATTAAATGCTGATATATCCATACCAGACCTTCCCCCAAGTTCCAGAAGATTATGCAAACAAGACTACTTTCTACCAGTAACAACTGCTATTAAGTGTATGTGTCTGTCTCCTGACTGCACTTTGCACAACTTAAGGGTAGAAACATGCTTTAGTCCTCTTTGCATTCTCTACCCCATCACAGTAACTAGAACTAAGTGAGGACTGAATAAATATTGAATGAATGGATAGTACAGAAATACTATAGTAAAGGAGGTGAAGGAGAAACAATCACTGTCAACTTGAAATGGAATGTGGTCTGGAATTTCTCTAATTTTATCAGGATGTTGAACAGAGTTCTCTTAACTCGCTCCTTCTGTACCTTATCCATAAGTAAATAAAGTTATTTTTTAAAATCTCTGAATCAGGAGTGGAAGATGAGATGACTAAAGAATTATCATTTTTGGATAGGCTGAGAAGAGGTAGAAGGAGAAAAGGTTGTCAGCAAGACCCAAATCATGTTTGGAGACCAGTGGTCAGGAAGATGGGAAGCATATTTTATTTTAAAAAGTAAGAAGACTTCAGACAATCTATTGTTATCAATGTAACACACGTGGTCAAAAAGTCAATTGAAAATAAATTGGATATAAATTATAAAAATCTCAAGATTCAAACTCTAGTTCTTTATGTGACTAATCAGATTATTTTTCCTAATCTCATGTAGGGAAATCTTTTTGAAAACAAAAGCCTCAAAATCTAGAGTTCTCCATAGGGAAAGAACTGTCCTGCTTTCATCCTGTGAGTATGGTGGAAATTTGCGGGTGAGTTTTTGTTGACTCAATGACGCGGAGTAGGAGTAGAGGCAGAACTTCTGCAATTCCTGCACAATAAAAACTTTCTCCCTCCTGCCATTCATTCAAGTAAGTGAAAAATCTGTTTGTAATAATGATTTTAAGTCTAGAACCTAACTCTATTTTACGTACAAACACAGAATATAATTTTGATATTGAATTTTCCAAGAATGTGACTACTGTTAAAATTTCAGAGAGGATTGTACTTTGTTTTATTCTGGAACTTCACCAAGAGTTGTTTACCATTTCAGAAACTGTGTAATAGGCGGTAATATCATAAATTGTATCTGACCTCTAATACAACACACCTGTGTTAGTCTGTATTTGTAGCTCTCCTAGTCATGGAGATTATGTATATATACTTTCATTTTGCCCTTATTTCAAAACGTCAAATACAAAGAAACATTCTTTAGGAATAGGTAGAAATGTATTTTTTTTTTTAAAGATGAGGTAAGGGGATCTTAGCTCTTGACTTGGTGTTGTTAGTACCATGCTCACCCAGTGAGCAAACTGGCCATCCCTATATAGGATCCCAACCCGTGGCCTTGGTGTTATAAGCACCACACTCTCCCAAGTGAGCCACAGGCTGGCCCCAAAGATTCAAATAACAAAAATTAGAAATGAAAAAGGTGATATTACAACTGATTCATCTGAAATACTTCAGGCAATAGGTCTGGACAAAGACTTCATGAATACGACCCCAAAAGCACGGGCAACCAAAGGAAAAATAAACA